AGACTTTTGCAGAACAAGCGGAGATGACAAAAAGAAAAAAATTGGGTTTGGAGCTGCAGCGATGCACCGCTGGAGAGTAATAATTATTGGAAAGGGGGTGTTAAAACTGAGGATTACGAGTACGAAACATTTAGAAGGGACGGCTTTTGAGAGAAGCGTATGCTGCTTCTGAGTTCCAAAATTATTTTAATGGCTAAGAAGAGCATCAATTTTTTCTTCGCCAACAATCTCGTCTTCAGACATCTCGTGCGCATTCTAGTGCTCAACAACAAAGCACTTCCAGTTTCGCAGTCACCGAAGTGTGCACCAAATTTTGCACTTTAATGCTTAATGATGCGCCTTGTGTGGAGCAGATCGCACTTCGTGATCCAGTAAGTTTTTATGCGTTTCGCATCGATCAGGAACACATTATAATGGCATACGCCAGTATACACATACTACAAGTACATCACACAAATGTTTGTGTGTGGTGTGTGTGTGTTTGTATGTTTGTGGGCGCCTGTCCAAATATTTCGGTTCAACAACCAAGTAAGCTTTGACGATGGAATTTTGCCAGTGGATTCAAACGCTTCCCCTGGAACGCGGTGTCAACTTTAACGCACATTTAAACCCTGCATACCGGCAGGTGAAAATTTTGGCGGAAAAATTGCTAACTTGGGAACGAAGTATGCTAGGGAACTAAAATTTTTTGAAGTCAGTTTTGGTTTGACTGTCTAGGTTTCATTCCAAGGCAGGGCTTCAGAATATAAGTAAGCTGAATGGTATGAGAAAAAACAAACACCTGGCGCAATACGCATGATTTGTATTTTGTGGAGAAATTGATGAAAAAATTTAAATACTTGTGATCATCATAACACTAATAATCACTAATTAACGATAACAATAGTAGTAAAAAGTAATTGTAGTAATAACAACAGTAACAGTAATAACAATTCACATTTGTACTTTGTTTAGCTGTCGTTTAATTGTAGCATGACTAAACGCCAACGATTCCTTACCCTACTTTCCTTTTACAGTTCTGGATCTTCTCCAAGTACGTGTTTGTTTGTAACGTGCAAATGTTCCACCGTACACTCCCTTTTGATGGTCAGTAGTTAGGGATGTGCTAATGATAAACTTATTAGATTCTGGGAATAACAGTATTTATATTATTTTACTCGCAGTGCATAAAGCTGTTCCGTCTAAACATGGTTAGTGGGTAAACTTTTAGTCGGAGTCGGTTGGAAAATGGACAGCAGCGATTGCAGCGAAACGTGGTATGGACCCACGAGCAACTGAAGTAGTAGATGCACAGGTAAATTTCAAAATTTCGACACGGCCGTATTCTAAGCGCATGAAGTATTTAATGTTTTTGGTCTTCAAAATTTGAAGAATATCATCTTGCTACTCGAAAACTTATTTATCAGGTTTGTTCGAAAGTGTCAGTGTGGAGCCGTATGTCACTGAGATATTGCATGGGCTGGCCTAGTACACATCTAGAAGCACTTGTGCAAGGCTGTTGACCTATTCTACCTGTCGCCAACTAG